GTGAATGCCAAGAAATGGCTAGAACAAAAATTAAATATGGCTGTGTGACAGTGGAATTAATACCTAGAAAGGCAGCTAGGTACCAGACTTCCTTTCATTGGATGTGTTCAGGTGAAGGTTAGATAGCGATTTGTCTGGGATGCTTGAAGATTGGATCTCATATACAAAACTTGTATGTACGTATGTGTAAATAAATAAATAGGGTTCCTGCGTTGAGGAGGGAATTAGAGTGGATGGCCTAAATGGCACCTCTCAACTTCATAATTTTATAATTTACAGTAATTTACAAATTTAATTAAATTCGAAGGAAATATATTACTAGTTCAGTGAAGCTAATACTCCTTTTTTCCTTCATTCAGATTAAAAGTTAGGATCAGGCTGCATGCTTGGCTAGGTGTTGGGAAATCTTATCCAAGTGTGAGGGAGTTGTACGTAACCCTGGGGCCTCAGGTTGGGTATCTTTGTTCTACCGGCTAGGCAAAATAGCTTCGCAAATAAACATTCCAACTAAATTCACTGTAACACTTTGACTTTCTAATACCCACTCTACAGCATCATGTTCTATGGACTTATTTCACTTTTACTACCATTCTGTTGCTACAAGTGTCTCATAGTGACTGGGTTCTATTACCTTGGCCAAGGCATTTTGTACCAGCTTCTACAGATCAGGCACTCTCTTCCTAACTTGAGTGGTGCAATAGCTGTCACATGCTGTACATGAAGCAGAAAGGAAGAACTTGGCACAACAAACAGATGCTCACACTCAGTGATTGGCATAAGGGGGCATGCTTCCTCTTGTCCAATACTCAAATCTTTGTACCCTTATAAGCCTCTCTCCCACTTCTGCAAGAAATCAAGCTACCAATTGTGCAACAAAAGGACTCATTTCATAGGGGAGGTGTGTATGTGTTAGGTAGGTTTACTCCCCTGCTCCCCATTTTTTGAATTGAGAGAAACTCACAATAAATATCTGTATAGGGGCAGCATCTGTGTTGAGCACAAAATGGAACTTAGGAAAAAAAGAAGAAATCATTAAGCACAACTGTTACTTTCAGTAACTGTTCTATGAAGGGAAGTGTACTAGTAAAGGAGCCTCTCTCACATAATTTCCATGCTGAATTAGCACACACAGGTATACAAATATGCCAAGTTTATACACCCCACACAAACATCCTTGATGCTGACCTGGAACATAAAGGCAACTATGTGGAGCAGCGACATCACATCTTACGTTGCAAGAACAGAAATGGGATCTTTAACTGGGTAAATACCTAAACGTGAATATTGTAAATCCATCAGTGAATATCTTCTGAGGAGATATGGTCAGAGTTCCACAGATCACGCCATGCATTTCGGAATCTGAATCTGCCATTCATACTTAATAGAGTTTGTTGTGGGAAATTTCAGTGCCACAAAATATGTTGGCTATATAAACAGTGTCTTCATGGTCTCACTCTCCAAAGAGACCCAGACAATCTCTCCCCACACAGAATTTGTTTGTTCATTTACTTTTTATATTGCTGCAATATTAAAAAAAAAGACTGAAAAAGACTCTTGGCACTTCTGAATATATTTCACAAGTTATGTAGGGCTTGAAACAGTGGTGTAATATGTTCCTTGCCTCTATAAGCAAACTGCTGGTTTATGTACCAACCACTGTTTAATACAGCTCTACGCAGATGGCACTGTAGCAATCCATTTGGGTAACAATGAGGATGTGAGTTACTGTTGGGAGGTTCTCCCACAATTTCAGGTAGGCTGCAACTGGTGCACCAGCTAAAGCTGGGCAAAGCCTCTATCTAACCATCTAGCAGTAGCTCTGAGTCCGGAATACTCAAGTCAAAGACTTGGTCTCTTGGGGCAATACTATCCCTTTGACTGTCAACATAGCCGACAGCAAATCCAGCTTGTTGAAATCTGACTGAAAGGAATCCAATAATCCATTACCTCTAGAACACTCAACTGTTGCCTCTCTTCCAAAAGGAGAAGGCTGGAGACCTTGACCATAGTTGTCAAGTATGGTTAGACCCAGGGAGAGGATCTCTTAAGGAAAAGGCACACCACAATCTATTTCAAGATACTTATTTTTCTATATTTAGAAACTCAAAATGTAACTACAGTACATGCACACACGCACACACACAATTGCAAGTAATTCTGTCAAGAGCTGATTGCTCTGCAGATAATTCTTGAGCATATAATCCTTATTTGGTTTGTACAACACTAAACTATGAAATGATTAGGCCTAGCATGATGTGTCAACCTGGACCATGGACTGAACTGTGGTCAGGTAGAGGCACATCAATCACAATTTGTACCCATTTTTTTTTTTTTGGTAGCAGATTTATTTACCTTAAGTATGGCTTCCACTTGATGGAAGGTATGTGCAAAGAATCATATGATTAAAACTCCCTTCTGGATGAAATGAGGCCACTTCAGCTGGAATAATTCCAGTTGCACCAGACATGTCGGGGATTAAAATGAAGATGGCAGGAAGAAGATGAAAGTTCAGACCTTGTGACGGAAGGCATGAGTGGGGAAGATTCTGGAAGGTTGCCGGGAGGGGGAAGAGAGATTCCAGGGGAAGCACCTCCTCAGCCTCCAGCCGGAGTGTGGGAAAGTCAAGAGGATGAGACTGGCCCCTCCCTAGGGCATCATGGTTATAGTTGCTGTTTTGGGGGATTAGAATTAGTCTGGCAAGATTCTGTCTATTAGGTGCAAGTTAATAAAGGAGCTAAACTGTTCTGGACTGTCTCGCTGTTGTTCTTGGGCTGAACCTGACAGACCTCCCATATTCTGGGGACAGTTGCTTCAACCCAGATTGGACCACTACATCTTTTAAAACAGGTTTTACAAAAATATATATATAAAAAAAGGAAATACCTGCCAATCAGGCACTGCAATGTTTGCTTTGATATTGGGCAAAAAGAAAGGAGAATCTCAAATTGTGGCTGGTGGTGGTTTGCTGTGCTGTATGAGAAGAGTTTATTAAACATGCTTTGATATTGGGCAAAAAGAAAGGAGAATCTCAAATTGTGGCTGGTGGTGGTTTGCTGTGCTGTATGAGAAGAGTTTATTAAACATGCTTTGATATTGGGCAAAAAGAAAGGAGAATCTCAAATTGTGGCTGGTGGTGGTTTGCTGTGCTGTATGAGAAGAGTTTATTAAACATCTTAACCATTATTAAAACTAAGTTAGATTAGTTCTAGTATGGCTGCACTTGCATAACAAATCTGACTCATAACACAATAGCAAATTATCAAAGAAATTCAAAACTGTCCCAGTTACATTGGAACTATTATCTTAGCCAGTGCCCCAGCCTCCTTTGCAAAATTGACCAGCTGCCTATTAAAAAAAACACTATTTACTGGAGATGGAGTACCTAGAGAAGACCCATTCTACAGAGTCACTCTATAAACTATAATCTTTGTTCAGGCAGTGAAAGGGAAAAGCAACATCCTTTTCTGGCTGACTGGGATAAGGTAAATAGTCTAAGAACTCTGGATTCCTTGGGGCTCAATCCTGACCATAAATAACCACATTTCTTGGTTTGTTTCACACATTGATGTATTTAAATGAACGATTTAAGTGAGTCCAAGCTAAGCTTGCAATCACATCATGGTTTAGCATTTTCTGTGAACTGAACCATTATGTGGTTTGCTTTTGGCATAGAATAATGAATGAAACTGGCAACTATGGCTTATTGGTATGGTATTAACAGTATGGTTAAAAATCCTAATTCGGTATTACACATACACATAGTATATGGATTAGTTTAAGATACACTGAAAGAGAAAGATGGGGGGAAAATGAACTTAATCATAAAGTTGTCTCTTGAAACATGAACAAATATATCTCAGGAGACAAATCTTGAACTTTCTTTGAAATGCTGACAGAATCTTCTGGAAAATGTAATCAAGAGCAAAAACATTGTCTCTGAAGTATTAGTAAAAAAGCTTCAGGGACAAACAATACCAACCCACTGCAAGCTGGGTGTTGATAAAAAGCAAGGAACATGTTTTTTTGTGATACGACTAAAACAGCACAGCAGTGGGAAAACTGCTCCAGGAAGTCCTAAAACAATATAAATCACAGTCAGACTTTCCATACTCTTCTGGACACAGGAACTCCTAAAATATCAGACCAGTATGAGTACTTACCAAATACCAAGTTGATAATCGAATAGTGCTCTCTAAAAGTTGATTGCACTATAAAGATATTAATATATGCTTTTAAATACAAGCTCCAAGAACAGTACAGTATTTGACTCCAAATCAACGTTGGGTAAAAGCTAAACTAGCTTTTAGCGAAACTGCAACAAAGCTAAAACTCAAAATAGAGCCCATCGTACTGTTGAGAGAAGGTTTTGCCCCACAGATGCCCCCAAGTATGTATGTATGTATTAGACTTCATGTATACCTACTCATGAAATAAGAGGCTTTTCAAGGACAACAGTTGTAGGCATGGAAGACAATCTGTGGCTTTCCAAATGTGTTGGGAAGTCATGCACCTGAGAACTGAGTCCTAGTTCCAATATACCCGGAGGACTTGCTGAAGGTTATGAAGAGCTGGCTGAAATTTTATGACAGCCTAAACAAGCGTAGATTTACTTGGAGTGGTATCTAATGACAGTCTATATATTCAGGTGAAATAGCTGTAGCTAATAAAGAAAAAAGCCTTGCTAAGATAGATATGATACTAACAGCACCTCTCTCAATTCCTTGACAAAAAACCAAGGACATTGAGCTACCTGAGGGTAAAAATTCAATTGGCATTATTCGCGGACTCCCAACAATGTTGCAGATCAGGGATAACTGAGGTTATGTTGTTGCTTTTTTTATTTATTGTATCTTGCAGAATTGCTGTGAAGTCTTCAAAAACAAAAGACCAAAAACCCTTTTTAACTGCACTACCACTGCAAAAAAAAAAAAAAAAAAAAATCTAT